TTCCGACATCAAAAGACCGGAACAGTTCATAAAAGAGTTCAGAGACAAGGTAATTGTTGCTATATTTTATGTCTCTTTGGTTTATCGATCATGTTTCTTGCAATGGGTGTTTGTTGTTGATTCAATGTATCGTTGTTTGGAAAGCTTTACTGCTTTCTTTCCTCTGTTTAGGGCTGTGGTGTCCGTTATAGTATTGTATCGTGACTGCATGATGTAAGTGGTTGAATACTCAAACACCACCTGTCCGATTTCTAGGTGGAGTTCGAGCTTGATTTTCTTTAATACTTGAATCAAGAAACACACGAGCCTAACTAAGATTTTGGATTTCTTTTACGAAATATGCATGTGTAAATATGATTCGGTATATATTTACATGTTTTCAAACTTTGTTTCGTGTTTCAATTTGAGCTTGGGACAAGTTTCAAGTTCAGTATTCAGGTTGTGATTAGTCAAGTCTTGTTTATCTTTAATTCTTGCATCAAGCAATCCATAGCCTATCATAGTAGCATGGATTTCGGATTTTTATTAATTTTATGTGATATGCATGTATACATATTATTCGGTTCTTTTTTACTTGTTTTCAGACTCGAGCTTGAGTCATGTTTCAAATTCTATATTTGAGTATTGTTAAGCCTCAGATTTGCACTGTATCGCTTAGGTCCATGCACCTTGTAGTTGACTATTGTACTTTCTAATGTTGTTCTGACACTTCATTTTGCTTGAGGTAAACGTATTTTAGGTTTTAGGAGTTGGACCTGATCAGAATGAAACAAAGGGCAAAGAGACCAACATCAATGATACCAAAACTGAGATCGAACTTACTTTTCGTCATCCGTATACAAGGGTAGGTGATCTTTTGCATCTTGGTCTTGTTCAATATTTTTGCTTCCAAAATTTTCAAGCTCCGACTTTTATTTTGTTTTCTTTGGTGCAGCAAAAACGATATGCATCCAAAAACTAGGAAGATCTTGTACAAACTGAGATTGAGGAAAGTTTTCAGTGGTGTCTTTGTTAAGGCAACCGAGGGTGTGATGGATATGCTGCAAAAGGTGGAGCCGTATGTTACATATGGGTACGAATGTAACTTTTTTTTTCCTCGTTTTTCGTTTTGAGTTCCTTCTTATCTGTTAAATCTAATTATGTGAAAACTTGTACAAATGTTAAGGTGCTACTCCATGTGTGGTAATGATTTTCCTCCCCTAGCATATGTTTATCATCATTTTATCAGTACCTACTTCAATTGCCTACATCCTCTTTTGGGGCATATGTAATTGTTCTTTTGCTTCACAAATTTGTCTAATTATCCTTCGTATTTCCATAGCTCATGCAAATGAACCTCAAGTTATTTGGCATTTTTTAAACTATTTTCATGTATCGATCTGGCTTTCCTTTAGGCATATGGCTGAACCTTCATTAACTATAATCTTAAGCTACTTAACAAGGGTTCTGCTAGGTTTCCACTGTCTCGCAGTTCCGGAATAATCTAGAAAACTTGGTTCTTTTATTTATAGTTTTCATTTAGATGATCTTGAATTTATATTTTGCCTCGACCGTTTTACACAGATGTCTGAATCTTAAGAACGTAAAGGAGCTGATTTACAAGAAGGGCTATGCAAGGATCGACAAGAAACCAGTTCCTCTAACAGATAATAATATCATCGAACAGGTATCATAGTTTTCTTAACCAAGTCTCAGAATAAGTTCTGTTTAACTTTGTCTGAATTTTGAAGGTTCATAATTCCCGCAACTAAACTCTTTTTGCAGACATTGGGGAAGTATGGAATCATATGCATAGAAATCGTACATGAAATTGTGAAAGTCGGTCCACATTTCAAGGAGGTTATTCGTTTTATGGGACCACTTATGCTGAGCAAGCCGGAAGATGGATTAATCAGAGGGAAGAAACAGCCGTACAGAGAAGGCGGAGATGCTTGTAATCGGGAAGATGAAATCAATCACCTAATTAGTAAGATGAATTAGCTTGAATACTTTGGTTTCTTCATATAAGTTTTGATGTGCGGATGTTTTCTAGTTTTGAATCGACTTCCATCATCATTTTAATCAATGCTAGTTTTATCATTTCTTGTTTGTTGAGAAAAATACCCTCTTGAATCTTCTTGTTTGCTTTTATTTAATATTTATAAAAATATCCATGTTATTTTCAGAATTAATACTTTCTGTCTTTGTAACAATTTATGTATTAAAATAATATGAAAAAAAGTCATTACTTACGGTAAACTACATGGTTGATCATTTAATTATAAGGATTTTAATTTGACCTTTGATATTTTAGTTTTATCAATCAGATTACTTAATTATTCAAATGATATCAATTAAATTATCAATTAATCAAAGTACTATAATTACACATTTAATCTTTATTATTAATATGTTCTATTAATTTAGTCGTTGATTTTAATTTAATTCAATAAGTTCATTTTAATTTAATTCAATAAATTAATTTGTGAATTTAATTGGTGAAGAATGTATTCATTTATGGGTTTTTTTCTTTTTCATTTGATTATATATAAAATATGTATAAAATATTGTAATCTGTAAATAAAACATGGGATTTGACTTAATTGTAAGAGTATGTCCCAAATGTTGTAATCTATAAATCCTCAAGTTTTTTTTTTTTGTTACAAAAGGAACACTGGAGCAATCAATGCGTATTCCTCCTCGAGGAAGGCATTTCTGAATTATAAATACTTTGAGCTTGGTTCGGCGGTTGCATGAACACAGTCAAGCTTTGGTCTCCATCTCGGCCAAGTTGTGCCATCTTGTCGGCCAGCTGGTTGGCTCCCCTGGTGGGTATATGCGAAATATTGGTGAACCAGTTCTTACTAAGGAGGCATTGGATCCTTCGAATTAGAGCAGACTCATGAAGCGGTGAAGGATTCCTAAGACACTGCATGATTTCCAAGTTATCAGTTTCTATTTCCAGGTGATGTGCCCCACTCGCCATGGCTACTTGCAGTCCATCAAAAGTTGCCTAGAGTTCAGCTTGAATTACCGAGCAGCATCCAATATTTCTGGCGTAGCCCTGTATCCAGGTGCCATTCTCGTCAGGGATGACTCCGCCACTTAAGGCCTTCTTCGTTGAGGTGTTAACTGCACCATCCGTGTTGAGTTTGAACACCCCGGGAAGTGGACATTTCCACACTGTTCCTGATGTTATCCTTCATCGCAAGTTTCCTTGATAGGCGATCCGTTTTGAGAACGGTGGCCCAAGCTTTGCTCGCCTGAATGGTGGAGATCGGACTCCATATTCTTCCGTTGAAAATAAAATCGTTCCGGTTCATCCAAATTCTCCAAATAAGAATGTCGAACATATGTCGCCAATGCCAATCCTTACTCATACAACCTGCATTGGAAGTTAGGTTAATGCGAGTGACCGTTGGGAGGAAACAAATCCAGATGGCTTTCGCTTGGTGGCAATCTCCTAAAATGTGAGTGACCGTTTCCTCCCCAATGCCACACATCGGACAGCTTGGGTCTGCCGACAGTCCACGACGACTCCGTTTGACATTAGTCATGAGTCTCTGATGAAGGATCAACCAAAGAAAATGCCGGACTCGTTGGGGGCCATCAAAGTCCCAATCAAGATTCCACAAATTGTGATGTTGTTCCAATTCCGGATCTTGAATGATTTTTGCTGCTGTTTTGACCGAGCATTTCCCGGTTTGCTCCCACCGCCAGCAAGGTTTGTCTTCACCAAACCCATCACTTGGGGTGGGCATTGCAGTAACAAAGTGAACTATATTGTCATCCAAACTACGTTGGAGCAAGTGGAAATTCCATGTACCATCGCTGGAGGTGAAATCACGAACCTTGGCATGAGGATACACAATTCGAGAGGGGTTAAAATAATCAGCAAGAGGGTTCATTCCTGGGATCCAGGAGTCGAACCAGAAATTGGTTTCACGACCATCACCTATGGACCAGCTAAGGTTGTCTCGGATGTTGCTCCAAGCATGGGCGAGGGATTTCCAAACAAAAGAGCCCCTACTGGGATCAATGTACACGGGAACGAGCTGATGGATTTTGTATTTGGCACGAACGATGCGAGCCCCTAAGGTGTCCGGTCGCATTAGGAGATCATACCCTAATTTAACAATAAATGTTTCATTTTGAGTCTTGAGCGGCAGAATACCAAGGCCCCATGGTTAAGGGGTTGACAACAAGCTTTCCAATTCACACAATACTAGAAAAAACCCCTTTAATGACGTATATTGCGCATCATCTATAGGTGCAGATGACACACAAATGCGTGTCATTGAAGCTATCATCATAAATCTCAGATGACACGTAATTGTGTGTCATAAATCTATGACGCACATTTATGACACACATTTATGACACTCATTGCGCGTCATTGAAGCCCCCGTCTTAAATGAAGACGACACACATTTGTGTGTCATAAATTTATGACACGCATTTATAACTTACATTGCGTGTCATTGAAGCACACGTCATTAAAAAAGTTGACACACATTCGTGTGTCGTGATTGTATGTCGTAAATTATATATATATTATATTGTAGATTGACAAATAATCAAACTAAATCACATTTAATGCCCATAATACTAAATATATATATCATATTATATATAAGCAATACATTTGCATACAATATATTAACATTAAGTTATCAAAAATATTGTAATCATATATATGTCGATACAAAATATCACGGCATAATAAAGTTTGCCACATAAGATACTCATTCTTTGTGAATATCATCAATGTCATTATCCATGTATTCTTCCTTCCCATCGCCAACCTAAGTAAAATATCAGAAAAGTTTGCTTACATTCTCATTGACCAACACTTCAAGTCCGTTCTCGACTATATCTTTCATTAACTTACAAACATAATATCCATACTCGGTACCTCCCGACTGACGGGGACACTACAAACAGTTTACAATAAATGATTAGTCAAAATGAAAGTTGCAATTTAAACAAGGAATGATCGATCGAAGTCCGCACCAAAACATTGATCCAATTGAGGCTAACCCATTTGTTAGATCCAGTTAACTTTTGTAATTCCGAGCTAGCTAGATCAACGAAATTTATCCGACTTGTTTTAAAGCAACTTACACCATTGGCTACACTCTGTAACAATAAAGAGTACTTCTGAATCCCTCAAGCATGATTGAGAGGGTATCTAAGAAATTAGCAAATAATGACATGGTATATAAGAAAATTCCTCTTTGCATAGCTAAGAAATTAGTGATTTGATTCCATCAATTTATAATTGGAGAAAGTATATCGCTCAAACCTAAATACTATAAACACAAAATAGAACACTTGGCATTCGAAGGATTATTACCTTGCATCGAGATTCAATAACACAAGTTAAAACACTATGGGAACGAGAACTTTCAGCATTGATACTAGTCGCACCTGTCCTTCTACTTGATAATCCCTACATCATTCGTCCAGCAGCTTATTACTGGAATAAATGGTCCAATCCATTTCTCTCAAGAAAAAGAAAAGCATTAGCATTCTAAACATAAAAATTGAGTATCTTCTTCATGAAAGATTATTAAGAAATTAGCAATCAAAGCATCGGCCAAAAGGAAAAGAAAGAAAAAGAAGAAAAACCTTTAGTAGTAGCTTAGTCAATCCCTTCATTGAGTGCACACAGTATTCTGTCAAATTCTCAACATAGACGCCAAATTTTACATCTTCTCTGATCTGGATGAAAATGATAGAACAATATAAGAAAACCCAATTTTTTCGTCCAGAAAAAATGGAAACTGAAAAAGTTAAATAATAATCCATTCTACCTGCAGGTTTCTTTGATTTGGATCCAATAATCTGTTATTTGTTCATTGTATATCTGCAAAAGAAAATTGAAAATGAAGTGATAAGGAACAAGAATAGTACAACGCTAAGCAGTCCAATTATGTCAAAACTAAGAATCAAAATAATTCAATTAACTCTACCTCAAGCAAAGAACAACGGATTTGATACTTGATATGTTTATCAGCATGCTTAATTTGCTCCTATAGAATAAAGAAGGTCAGAACACAAACTATTGAAAATGGTTCATTCCTAAAATTCAAAAAAATCAACAAATTCATTGATGAGCATAAATTCAACACTTTCACCTCATTTATACGATCAAATAAACGCTGAAACACACGAGGAGTTAAGCCCTGCTGATCGCTTGATAAACTTTCTTCAAACAAGGTATTTGCTGGACCCCAAATAGTATAAGTCTTTTCGTTGCCAGTCTAATGAAATCATTTTATTCGGACCCAGAAATTGAAAAACGGTAATAATCAATACAAAAGTATTTCACGCATGAAATCAAAGAAAATGAAGAAGCCAATACATGGCCATAGTAGTTTCAACAGAAGTTTGAACATTATCATGCTCTGGTTGATTACAGTGAAAGGCCTCCATTGTAGCGGGGTCTAACTTTCCTTCAGCAATCGCAACTGCTACCGATGGAGGGATTTCTCTGGTATCATTTTCACTTGGTCAAGGGAAAAATTACATGCCGTGCACTCAAATATATTTGTTACGTATTACCAACATCAAGTACTGTTATCACATTATGGATAATTGAAATTTGTGTACTAAATATTAGTAAAATAATTTCACCTTATGGATGTACCACTTTCTCAATTTCCGTTATTTCTTCCTCATACCTGGTAATCACCTATTGGTTGCATCACTTGAAGTTTCATTGTAACTTGAGAATCAAAGTAAAAAAATGGAAAACAAAAAAGAAAAGAAAGGATACAGTCCCAGGAAATCAAGCCCTTCATCTAGATATTGCAGAAGCTGTTCTGTAAGAGGTTTCAGATGTTTGAATATCAAATGTGAACCGCATTATTATCAAAATAATTTTGCCTCATTTAACATGATTTAAATTCTATGAAAGATCTTTGAATATCAAATGTGAACCGCATTATTAGCACAGAAGCTGCTGGTTAGAAGCATTTAGAAGACTACTTACACGGCCTACGTACTGGTACTTGGTAGAAAAGGAATGTGCCTTTACAATCCAAATTCCAGGAACAGATGGAAGGAAATCATATCCAGCAAGGACACACATACCTGTAAATGTCAAAAGGTAAGTAAATTTGAGTCCAAATGATGAGAACATATGTTTATTTCAACAAAAATGTTTAAACAGATCTTTTTGGTTTTACAATTTTATGGAAAACTTCACAACTGATGGCTCATCACAGAGAAGTTCAACCAGCTCAAATTATTAAAAGATTCAGGTTTGTAACAATCACAGGCATAAAGAGCCCAACGAAATGAAGATATATCTCTATGGTTCTTGATTTGAGTTCATCAAATGTTTTAAATTTGATTATAGTGAAAGTTGCATTCTAGACGACCTAGGCTTCCCAAAAAAATGTAAACCTGAAGAGCATAGCTCTTGATGTGTGAAACAAGATTACCTGTAAACAATTCTTTATCAAAATTTCTGAAGGAAGGTTTACTAGTTAATGAATCAAAAACTTTTGGCAGAACTAGTTCTTCTCCATTGCTATAATGTTCCATTTTAAATATGATATGTTAACAGAAAATGCATGAAAATAAGACAAAACCACTAACTCAGGATCAACAAAGAAAAGAAGTCATCAGGAGAGCAGAAGACCTCCATCAGCAAACCATATCATAGTTCTGGAGAAGTTCTTACAGCTGGGCAACCATATGCTATTAAATCACTATCTTCTGTAATCACTGTCGCAACTCCTCCTTTTTCAACCTCAAGGGTGGCCAAATATGCTAGTTGTGCATCAGCCTCATATGGAGCTACCACAAATTCAACTTTATCTGATTTCAGGATCTAAAAAAAGAACCAATATAAGTTTGGAAAGGATTTAAATGGAACAGGTATGAGAAATATTCTAAATTTCCATGATGAGCTAAAATTCATAGGAAAATGTTTTACCTGAATTAATTGATGGCCATTGCTGGAGTGATTCTCACTGCTTTCTACAATGAAGAAAATGAAAGAATAGAGTGACCACAATTATATAAGAACAACTAAAAAATCCATGCAGATGTCGGAATCAACAACAAAGATAAAAACATCATGAAAAATTAAGCAGGCAACAACACATATAAATATGCCCTTTGATGTTAGCAGAAATGATTCTAAAGATGAAAAACTTTAAAGAACTTAAGTGATTGGTAAACGATTCAAAATGGCCTAATTATACAGTTCAAAACCGGATCAAACTTGCTGAAGTTCCAATAGAAAATATAGTTCATGCTCAGGTCCAATCGCAGGAGAAGTCTAAACAAGTAATTTATAGTTGGAGAGACTAGAATCAGTACTGAAATTTACTTCATTCTTATGTGCAATATTGAGAATATCTTAACATTTCTCGGCAAATTTCCAAGAGTAGAATTTAGTATTAAAACGTGAACAAATTCAATCCAAAAGCATAAACAATGGTTCATCCTATTAACTTCAAAGAAAATGAAATAAATTCATAGCACTTCTTTATCCCCATACACCAGAAGAAAAGAATATAAAAACAGAAACATTGATTAATTAATTATCATCATAACCATTGATCCCAGGAAAAAGGTGTTTCACCAAACATCAGAAATACATATGCATTGGTAAATAAGAGACTCAAATTAAAAATGCTATGGGAAAAGTGCCAGTGAGTAGTTCAAACATTGGATTAAAGGCAGAAGGAAGCTAGAATGAAACCTAGAAAAGCTCAGTTGCAGCTTTAACATCCCCTTTTTAAGTTTGGCGATTGCTAGTTCCCGGTTCTCTTCTCTCCTCCATAAGTCAAAACCGTGTTACTACTATGCCCAAGAACTTGAAATAGCTATATAGTCAATAAAATGCAAGATCTAAAATAAAAATAAATCATTTAAAGTAAACAAAAAGTTGAAAAACTTGTTTCTCTCATTTTCAGTTGCAACCTTATAGGGAATACTTGCACCATCAAAAACCACAACTGGGGTTATCTTATGGTAACGGAGAAGATTGACTTTGTGCATAAAGTAAGTTATGTAACGAGATTTATTTTCACTGTTTGAATCCAAACAAATCTCCGTGCTACATGAATATGCTACAATTTTTGCGTAAACCAGCCCAACCTTATTGACTCCATTTTCATTTAACAATTTAAATATATAAGTGAATACATCTGAAACAAAAATACCTCCTTTATTTAACCATAAATAAGCATCAATACCCACCTGCAAAACTTGCAGAATAGCATATATGTTGGGGAGGACAAAATGGAAATAAAAGAGAAGAAAAAAGGAGAAAATAAAATACCCGCTTGCCAGCGTATTTCTTGATGTGAACGGGTTCAATGAAAGGTTTCATGAATCTAAGTAGACCTTTGATTCCCATTGTTTATCCCCTGTTATTGGTTGTGGGGATTAAGGTTTTTTTGGGGAAGAGGGGAGGGGGCGCTAAGAAAAAGGGAAATATAGGTTTAGTGTGAACTGATGATAGAGGAGGATTAGAAGCGGGAAAGCATGCGTGATGAAAAATATGTGGGAAATTAAAAGATGACTTTTAGAGATGACACACAATAAAAAATGTACTTTGTGTGTTTGTTAATTTTTTTTTATTATGACTATTAAATATGACACATATTATTATAAGTCATAAATCGTTTAGATTTTAAGAAACATGACATTTTTTTATGAACATTTTTTGTAAGTCATAAATTAGCGTGTATCATCGTTCGTGTGTCATTAAAAATATATTTTCTTGTAGTGACAAGGGCCATTTTTTTTGAGAATCCCGAGTATCACCCCAAATGAAGTGTCGGGCGATTTGTTCGATCTGATCGCACACCCCTTTAAGAATCGACACTATTTGCATAAAATAATTCGGAATAGCTAAAAGAGAGGATCTTGCAAGAGTAACCCTTCTTGCCATCGAAAGTTTGGTCGCAGTCCAATTGTTCAGCTTTTTCCTGACTGTATCGATCACGAATTGAAAAGTGCTTCATGTGACTCTTTTGTGCAATAAAGGCATGCCCAGATAGTTGCCGAGAAAAAGTCCTTAAGTTTAATCCCTTTAACATAATTCTTCGCCAATTATTTCTTTTAATAAGATGATAACATGTATCGTGCTATAATTTGACTTAATGGTGTGATATGTGTTATCATATGATTGAATGATTAAATTTATTAAATTATATTAAAATTAAGATTAAATTAACATAATATATAAATAATGAAGATTAAATGTGTAGTTATATTAATTTTGTCAACTTACACATCAATTTTTTCATCAAATATTAATTCGGGGGACTTAATTTACATAATTTTAATAATTAATAATCTATAATTAATAAAATTATTTTTTGAAGGATATTTAATAAAATTAAAATATTTGGTTATTATGTAGCTTATTAGGTTTCTTTTTGGATAGGAAAAAGTTTAGGTCACGGGTGACTCCTCCAGTTTAAGGTCAGGGCATACCTAAGACCCAATGAGATTTAAATAGGATTGTATAGATTGCCCACCAAGAGTGACAGTGATTGGATTCAAATTTAGCCTTACAAGCTCAAATTCTTGAATCACAACAAATATTCATTGGCTTATCTTATTAGGTTTACAATGATATGATTTTCATTAAAAAGAAATCAGTCTTTTGAGCTGTAAACTCACAAAAATGAGTTACTTCCCCTGCAAATAATTTACAGTGGAAACATGTCTCTTCTTCCCAATGAAAATAAAATCATTTACATTGAATTTGAAACCAAAGCAAAAATCCAAAATAAGAGATAAAACTAATGAATTTCCACAGCTGATCAAATAACTGGATGTTGTTCTATGTCCTCATTAGATGAGGCCTGAGCTTGTTCACGTCGGATAATTGAAGTGGTTTCAGAAAGAAGTCTTGAGCTCCATCTTCCAAGCATCTGTTGATTCTTGATGGGATATTCTCAGAAGACATGATCACAACTGGTATGTCTCTCAAACACGATGATTTCTTTATTCTTCTTAGAAGATCATATCCTGTCATTCCAGGCATACAATAATCTGTTATGATAAGATTCACTCCCACATCTTCATCGTTGTCGTTTCCGTCGTTCAATCCAAGAAACTCCAGTGCTTTACTCCCTGAATCCACAGTCGTAACTGCAAACAGAGAGACAGGATTTTATGTTAAAAACGAACTTCTAAAATAAATAAAATCCTATGATCCATCTGTCTTTACCACTGGGATTTGTAATTTGATTCCTACCAACCTTGGAAAGAAGAAGTCTTAAGAAGCCTTTCAATTAGCTTTCTATCAATGACACTGTCATCAACCGCAAGAACATGAAACTGGGTTTCATCAACAGCCATGGGAAATGTTGATTAAAAATAACCAACCCCTGAGGAAAAGGATAAGAAAATGGTGTTTGGTTTGAGAGAAAAAAGCAGTGGGAAGGTGAGTTAATAAAGGGTTGGAATATGCGAGAGTTTGGAAAGAAAATAAGATCCGGGGAGATTTTCGTACAAAATCTTGAGGATCTTGTGGGTTGATTTTTGAACTGGACAACAAGCAAACATGGTGCTTAAGGCACACCGGAATTCAATTAAAAATTATCTTTTGTTTTGGCCTTTTCGGTTGATGTAATAGCTACACTTTCTGAATTTTTTCATGCACAAATTAAACGAAGTTAGCGATTAAAGGATTATTGTTACATTTGAAGTTTCGGGTTTAAAGATCACATATATAGAAATATGAAAGAAAATTATTTGATAAAATATTTTAACAGGGAAATTATGAAAGAGGAGATATAAAAATTAATATAAAATATTTTTTTAATTAATCATTGATATCAATCTATTGATCGACTAATCCAAATCGGGTACTACAGAGGCGAGGGCGACCCTCCTGACCCAGTTTGCTCCATTCACAAACGTTAGGATTCAAACCCCTGACATTGCTTAAGGAATCTAAACAACAAATCTAGTACCTCATCCCACTAAACCAATCCATTTTTTTTAATATAAAAGATATTATTTGATAACATATTTTAACCTAAAATTAAGAAAGAGAAGGAGATATTATTTGATTCATTGATATATTTAAAAGTACATCAATAATAAATACAGTTCAAAGATGTATATAATATGCGACTTGCCTTTCACAATAGCATTATTTTACTACATGAAAAGATTCCAAACATAAGATTTTCAAATATTTATTAAAAGGAAACTGGATATTAGCAATGTACATACATTTGGACTTTTATTTTTAAACATATTAGGATATTTTCAAACATTAAAAAAATGCTTATATTTTTATATAAATAAAAAGGGTGAACACTAATGCTTTTTTAGTTATGTTGAAGGTATATATTTATTTATCCAAAATTTTGTAGTTTTTTCATTTATCAAAATTTATTCAATTTTCTCTCTATTTTTATATAATTACACAAAATCTTAATTAGACTATATACTGTTTTTAACCGAACCTATTATTTTAATTTTATGATTCATGTTCAAATTAAATAATCATATCAAATTTGAATTAATTATATACATATATATGTTATTTTAATTTTATGATTCATGTTCAGAGGTGTAGTTTCCTTTCAATAATATAATCTTTAATATTTATACCTTCTTTCTTTTCTTTATGAATACACAATATGCCTTATCATGACACTTAATCTCGTTAATATTTTATTTCGAAAATTAATGCTATGTTTGATTTATTTGATAATATTTACACATTTTTCAAAATTCACCTATTAATTATAAGACAACAAATGTTGCTTTTTGAGACCAAATAGATCATGTTGGCAATTAAAATAGCACTGGTATGAGAGGTAGTCCAAAAATAAGTCTCCTTACTCGTTTTCATCAGAGGTCACTTGGGGAATGAATATTATTTTTAAGCATAAAGCTTTCGAACCTTAGAAAACCATTACTTTGCCAGTATTTTTTTATCGACAAATATGAATTTTATTAGCATAGGACCATGATCAAGTAGAATATCTCATTAAAAACTCCCTAAATTTAAGTGGAAGAAAACAAAAAATATATTTTATCCACAAAAAATAAACAGAACGAAACGCAAAAACCCCAACCAACTCAACCATCAGCTACTAACCCTAAAAAAAAAACTAAGTTACAAAACAAAACCATCACAAAACCTCTCCTTTCAATTGTAAGCTAGGCAGCAGCAGAAGAGACCAAGCTTTAAATAACATCATTCTTTGCAATCCATCGATGGCCAACTGCAAGGACAACTCATTACCCCTTCGATCAATATAACTAAAATAAATCCTTCCAATTTTACTCCTTAACCTGCCAACTTCCAAATACAGTAGCGACCATACCCATGGGTGGCGAAGAGGAGAACCCAACCAATCCAAAACCAAATTTGAGTGGTTTCCACCACCAACTCCCTTAAACCATGAAAAATGAAGTCGAACTTCCTTAGAGTGTTCGAACGAAACATCTCAAACACAATAGATTGCCTCTCATCTAAAACAAAAAAATTAATATCCATCTAGCCTAGCAAGCTCCGCAATCACTTCCGCTCATCACCTTCAATTTAAAATCCCAACTTCTTCCCAAATTCCCAAGCACACTCTGCTTCCTTAAGAATTAATTTTTTACGACTTTTAAGACCCGAATCAGAAAGAGAAACATTTTCCACCTCACAAGAAATAGCTTGACCCTTAGAGTTATTTTTCTTCAAAGCTGTCTGTTGTCTTCTCTTCGGTTGTCGATAAATATTTGTTTTGAATATCTAACATTGATATATATTTCTTTTTAGGATAGGATATTTTCCTTCCGACAACAAACGAAGCACTCTGAAAGAAATCGACTTCGAACTGGCAATACTAAACCTATATTACTAACCATAGTATCAAATTGCGGTTGCGGGTTTTGTTGCAGATGCGGTTGCGGTGTCGTAGTTGTGAATGTTACGTAACGTGTTGCGGTTGTCGCGGGCGTGATCTCTTCATCAAAAATCACAATACGTCTAAAATATTATATTTATACATTTTACAGATCTAAAATATTATATTTATACATTTTACAGTTATCTTTTAATATACTAATATTAATATACTCTTTTAATATTTTATTTTGAAAATAAAAATTTAATTTCATAGATAAAAATTTATTAAAAACAAATATAAACCATAAAAGTAATATCATACTGAATAATGTGTAATAACAATTATAATATTAATGAATAACATATAAAATAATATCACTAAAATCATATCAAATTTTTTATATTGTAACATAAAAATGTTCATTTTACATAACTTAGAAAGAAAAAAAATACATAATTACAAATATAAAAATTCTATATCTTAGAGTTCAACACCTAAATGAATGGCGTGACGGATCTAAAAAATTTCCATCTTCGTTATTGTCTTGGTTTTGATTCCATCATATTCCATGTGAAGAAGACATCACATTATGTGCATCATAAGATGCATCATTGGTAGGAAACATGTTGTATGATAAACGATGACGAAAAAATCACTTGGATTTTGTTCAAGGTAAGGTGGATAACATGAATTTCGTTGGTAAGAATGAGAACCATAAGATGATTCACTAATTTCATTATCATTTGTAGTTGAACTATATGATGAACCTGCAAATGAATCATAAAAGTGTTCTCCAATTCTCCTATGAGTTCTATAATCATCATCTCTTTTATTTTGTGATGCATTTATTCTATACAAACTTAAATTATCATCGTAAGGATATCTGGATGTACCTTGATCTCCATGAAAAGTAGTAGAATAAATGTGTCCATATTCTGGTTGGTACGTACCTTCATTATCACCACCATGATCATCACAACCACCATCATCATCATCGTCATCATCATAACTTGACGTTGATAGTTGAACATTTTCCTCATTAGATGGAGTAGGTGAATTGTTCATATCTTCACCTTGAGTTTCTTCATCAGTTTCATTAAGTAAGTCCTCAGGCAACCATGAGAAATTTTGTTCACTATTAAGTGTAGCATTCTCTCTTTCTTCAATCCATGCATTTAGTAGGTCATGTTCTTCAAAAATATTTTCAAGATTAATCAGATTAAAACACATTTCTAATTCTTGTGCACTTTTTCTTTGCATGTGTCTCAACTTCAACCTCATATTATAATGGACATAAACCAATTTTTGAAGCTTTTTATGCTTGAGTCTATTTCTCTTCTTTGTATGGATCAAACTAAAAGTATTCCAATTATGCTCACAATTTAAAGATGAAGTTATTTGACTCAAAATTTTGACAGCGATGAGTTGAAGTTACGGTGCACAATTTCCATAATTAATCCACCATTCAGCTACAAAAAACATAAATATTAAGATATAATTCATAAAGTATTTATACAAATATCTTTATTATCTACAAAACTATAGAGGATAAATTATTTTTGTTTACCATGGTTAGTCTTCAAAATTGCAGCTTAAGCTAATGGTGTTCCAAAAGAATCCATTTTGTCTCGATATAGCAACAACTAAAAAATAAATGAATTAATAGTTTAAACATGATACTTTATGAGTTTTTTCAAACAATTTAAGTATATAAAATACATACCTGATTCATTGTAAGAATTTGATCATTCAAGTTGGGTTCTATCCTCTGTATGAAATTTCTAACTCCATTCATAGTTTCACCAATCACTTCACTTGTGAAATTGACTCCGTATAGAAATTGTGGATTTAGAAAATATCCTACATAAAAAATAGCATAATAAATATCTAAACAAGATATCACAATTTAAATTTAAAAGTTTTATAATGTACCAACAAAATGCAAATCATTATGAAGTTGTTTACTCCATCTTCTATTAATTATTTCCCAATATTTATGGTAATAGCGACAATCCCTTTGAATCACCAATTTTTCTCTGTCAATGACTTCATAAATAAAACCCATAGTTGGTTTTTCATTGCTATCATACATCCTTAATACTTTAACCAACGGTTCTTGGATCTTTAAGACATCTTTGGTTTTTTCCTAAATTGTGTGGAGTTAATGACTTCTATCATCTCTAATCTAACTTGTTTTCTTGCATATGTAGACTTTTTCCATTATGAACAAATCACTGTTTCTTTAAGTTCTTGTTTGTTTCTAACAATGCTCTCCAAGGCAATGAAATTGGTAGCAAATCTAGTGATCCCAGGACGTAAGAGTTATATACCTTTGATATACCTCTTCATATAATCAATCATCCATGTATGACTGTATATAAAGGAAATGATATTTTTGCTTGATCAAAGACACTTTTCACACTTTTTTTTGTTATCAATTTCTTCCAAAATAAGATCCAAGCAATGTGCAGAACATGTTGACCAATACAAGTGTCTTCTCTTTTGCATCAACATTTTACCACCAGCTTTGATTGATGCTTCATTG